CAAACTGATGCCGGAGAGCCTGAATTTACTCTGACACAGAGCTGAGGTGTGATCCTGGTGTGGAACTCAGTAAAGATCTCAAGGTAGATCTCAGGAGTGGGGGGTAGGGGGGATGTGGAGGAGGGTGGTGGTGGTGTTGGGTTGGCTTGTTTGTTGTTTTTTTTTTTTATGGGCTGCGAACAGCTGCTCCCAAGAAGGAATAAAACTATCCAATGCTGACTAGGCCACATGGACCAGCAGAACCAGTCAGCATTTTCCAGGGCCAAGGCTGGCTTTGTGCTGGCACCCTGGGGCAAGTCAAGAAGGGCTTGTGAATGCAGTTCTTGACTGTCACTGGGGAGGATGGGAAATCAACATCTGCACATTCGCTGTGGTCTTTCTCGTAACTTGTGAGCGGCCACATTGTTCCATTTTCTCCCATGACTAAGCTATTGTATGTTACAGAATGACCTGCTTCTCTCTTTCTCGGATGTTCAAGCAATAGATCCCACTACCTCATAAACACCATACCTCATTTCCTTGCTCTTATTACAGACATGAAAGAAATAAAATCTTACTCTGCTGCTTTCAATTCTTCCTCTTTCTCAGCTGCTTTGGTTCCTTCCCTGCTTGGATTCTTCTCCTGCTTTGGGTCAGATCCCTGTGCCTCTTCTGCTATGAACCCAGGGCTACTGCCTGCTTGTTGGAATCATGGTGAAGGAAAGAACAAAGCACCTTGCTCACGGGAAGAGGGCCATATTCAGCACCATGATGCCAGGCCAGAGCCATTAGAAATGAGTTTTGAAACCTACTTTTGAGCATGAATATGTGAATGTCTCCCTCCTGAGCTGTCAGCACCAAGACATGGCATTACATGTGCCACAAATGCTTCTAGCGAAGAGCAGTTGCTGAGGAAATGAAAACCATCACCCTTTTCTGGGGATACTGAACTGTTAAAAAAAAAACAACTCTGTACTATAGAAACAACACTAAGATGTCGGTGCTCACTGCAAAGGCTCGGTGAGTTCTGGCGTCTCCCACACCCCTTGAAGGCTTCAGTGGATGGAGACCCTGCTACCTTCAGAGGCAGTTCTCACAAGCATCCACTCCAATGTTCAGTCAAATATCCATGTCTTTTTAGCACAAACTCTTTATGCTTTGGCTCCCCGGGAAGGTTTTTTGCGATGAGATTCAAGAGCCCTCTGCAGCTGGAAATCATACCTCTTTATACGTTTTTTTCACACACCGTCCATCCCTTCCCTGCAAACCTGCTCTTGAGTGGACCAAGTTGAACGCCTTTGCTGTCTGGCAAAAGTTATTGCAACTTCTTCCTCTGAAGCTGAACATAAACTTGCAATATGGGTTCTGGGACTGTCTGTAGCTGTCTAGTGCTGTATGTGAGCTTGTACCTATGGGAGCCCACGGCCTGTCCCTGCTGGAAGCTCATCTCCAGCTGCATAGCTTCTCTAAGAGTTTCAGAACTGTGTTTTCTTTCCAGGGTGTTATTGTCTATCTAAAGAGTTTGATCTGCAGTCTTTGTTTCTAGACTTGTTTGCTTCTTATTAAATTCTCTGTCCTCGTGATTACTCAGGATCTCTTTACCAGTTATTTTAATCTGCAAATATTACTGGTGTAATATTTCGCTTGGTTTTCTCCAGATCTGTGGTAAAGGTGTTGAAATAGCGCTGTGTTGAGGACAATCTTGGTGGAAAATTAGAAGCCTTGTCCTGGATGATGCTCTCAGTTACTCTTCCTACCATACCCATCAGTGAGCATTAATGAGTGCTATCTCTTCTGCCAGCTGTGGCTGATTCTTGCTGGGTTTGCAGTAGTTGCCTCTCCTGGCTATGATGGTTCAGTTTAGCCTGGAACCACGAAAGGTTGCCGAGGCTCTTCATGTCTCAGGTTGAGGTTTTGGATCCTGTTTTTTGAGCACCAATGATTCTCAACTACTTCTTCAGTTGTTCTTGGGTGTAATTTATGCAGCCCTGTGGGCTTTCAATAGCTGCTTTTTAGCATTTCCACTAGTCACTAGTGTAATAGGAAATATTTGTTAATCACTTTCAGACAGACGCGTATCTAACTCTGTACAGAACACAGCCTCTCCTACACAGTGGTTCACACTTAGGTGTTGTTTTCTGTCAAGTATTAGATCTGGATCGTTGTTCAAGTCCTGCTTTCTTTGGTGTATTTCAAGCAGGTCATCCTGTTGTCCTTAAATCTGCTGATACAAACGTTTAGAGCTGCTGGCTGATCCTTTTTGCTGCCAACACAAACTTTAGCATAGTAGCATGTATCGTTAGTAAGAGCTCCTACCTCTTCTCTGGGGGCGAGGTGGGGATGGAGGAGGTTCTTCTGAGCAAGTCTTCTTTTCCTGTCTGTGTAAAATCTTCTTTTCCTGTCTCTTGTTGCCTTTGGCAAAGGGGATTGATCCTCTGATAAAGGGTATGGAAGATGTTTCCATTTGAAAATATTCCCTCCTGCTCAAAAGATGCAGCAGATATGGCTGAAATGGCTTTCATTGGTTTCATCATCTCTGTCCTCTCACCCACCCATAAAAAAAGCATCTTTGTGAAAATAGGAAGCAGTGGGTGAGAAATAACTAACTTCTGATGTTTAAGGGAGTCTGCTACTGTGCCCACAATTCCATCAAGATGAGCTGTCTGCATTAAACACAGTGTCAGAGAAAACTTAAGAGTGGATCCTCTCCAGGCAGAGCTGTGTGCTTGCTAACTTTTGACAGGCTTGTCAGCAATGCCTCCAATTTTGATGAAGTCCTGGGCTTCAGTCCCTGCTCCCTGACCATCGTTGTATCTTACAGCAGCTGAATGGGCCACAAAGGGCATTAAAGAAATGAGAACTCCCTGACACCCATGTCCACTGCAAAGAGCCACTGGCGTGCTGTGCTCATTGCTCTGAGAGCCAGGGAACGTGGGCATCGACTGCTGAGAGAGGAGCTCTCAGAGTGAGTGCCCCCACGTGTGGCTCAGGTGCCTGTGGCAGGAGCAGGGCTGGGGTGCTGCGCAGGTGGTGTGGTGGGGAGTGTGCTGGCAGGAGATACTCGTCCAGCCGTCCTGCTGCCTCTCATGGCTCCCTGTGCCGGGGAGGCATCTCTCTTTCTCTGTGCCCAGCACTGGTCGGCAGGCTGGCATTCACCATGTGGCATGTGAGGTGCAGAGCTGAGGTCAGCCCTTTGTGTGACCCTCTTGTAATGATCGTAGGAGTGGATGAGGAGCCATCCTTGGGATGGCTGGGGTGCACGATTCTGGGATGCAGAGAGGGGGACTGAGTGAGTGTGGGCGTGACCAGGATTGGACTGCAGAGCTGGATTTATGTTGCTTTTGTGTCATTTATGTCAGAAACCTAGAAGTATGAGGAAGAGCCAGACGAGTTGCTGAAACCTCTCATGTTGCAGATCACTGATGCAGCAAACGGTTGTGGTGAACGTCTTCAAAATAACAGCGGGCTGTCTGGTGGTGCAGGCAAGGCTTTGAGGACACATCTGTCTTATTGGTGCGGTTGGAGACAAAGCTAAGCCCTTGCTTTGGAGAAACAAGTGTGCTCACGTTGTTACAGCATGCTGTTCTCAGACCCCGCTTTTGATGTTCAAGATCAAAGCCTGCATGTTGGGATTGCTTCCTTCAGCCACAGAGGAGACAAATCTCCAGTTTGTTCTTGTGTTAGGCATTTCCTTATTTTAGACACTACTCCATACAAATACACACTTCAACGCAGGTCTGTAGAATGGAAGAGCGAACTGCTGTTTATAATCACTTGTGTGCACCTGTAAATCTGCGGGAAAACCCCATTGCTGCCACTTAGAACCCTGCAGTTGATAAGGAATGGAAATTGAGAAACTGGAAATTGAGGAATGGAAATGACCTTGTCTCTCCTCGTTATGATTTTGAAATGAGCTCTTATAAGTGCTGGTTCTTGCAGCATGGCCTGAATTCTAGATCCTTTCTCAGAAGGCAAGAGAAATTCTAGCAAGATGAGTAACACAGTGTCTACTCTAGGCTGCAATCACAAATTACTCAGCCAGGTTAGGTCCTGCTGCAGTGCTCAGCATTGACCTGAAGGGGTGATAAAAAAAGCCTTTCCCTCTCTAAGGCTTCTTCAGGTTAGAAGAGGACTGTGGGATCTGAGACAGTATTTGCAAAGGTAAGAGGGGCAGCAGAAGCTGCCAGACGAGCCTGCTGGTGCCCTGCGGCACTGTGTGTTTCCCACGTTACAGCACGCTGCTGGTTCAGCCCGGCCAGTGCCCCGCAGTGATTTGGTGTGGGTGAAGGCAGCCCCCTGAGCTGGCTCCATTTGGGCTGCTAATGCTGGGGCAGCTCTACTGAGGCTGCAGCACTGACGACGTCTTCCTCTTCTCAGTTAGGCTGGTTTTTATCACAGTGGGGCAGTGTCTGGGACTGGTGTTCTGTGACTCAGGATCCATGCGCTATGGAGCAGGGAAGGAAAAGGAGGGGTGCACACCAGGCAGTGGTCAGTAATTAGTCCTGTGTGAAACTAAGCAACTCCCCAGCACCCACAGCTGCACTTGGGATCAAGTCTTCATCCTTCTGCCAAGGGAACGAGTCCTCAGCTCTGCCTCTCCCTTCTCGTGCAGGATACCAGAGGCTTTGTCATTCCTTTCGCTCTGCTTGTGGTCCAGGACACCGCAGTGGAAAAGCAGCTGCCTCTGCCCAAGTGGGCTGCTGGAAAGGGTGGTTGGCTGGTGGGTGTGCACTGGGCTGATTACTCAGCCCCTGACTGGCAGCGCAGCCCTCGCGTGCCCCACAAGCCCTTCGCTGCTGAGCACACCTGCTTCCCGAGCCTGGCTGCCGAGCGTGGTTTTGTGCGAGCGGAGTCATCTGTCGGGCTGATCCCGTTGCTTGTGCGTGCTGCCTTGGTGTGGGAGGAGCAGGCGGGTGCCCCAAACTTGCAGCCAAGGGCGGAAGCTCTTTGGGGTTTGCTGCTGATGCTTTGAGGCTTTCATAGTGTTGCAGCACCCGAGCTGGGTGCTCACTGCTGGAGTGATGCAGGCGTATAAAGACAGAGCTGGGTCTTCCCCCAGGGCTCAGTCTGGGACAGCCCCGGCAGTTTTTGGCAGTCATATGGAAGATCACGCCAAGCCCATCCAGCCTGTCCCACTCCCGGCCATGCAGCAGAACTTGAACTATGTGTACCCCCAGATCTTTTGGGTGGATGGCTGCACCAACTCCAGTACTTCCTGCCCCCCGGCACCCCCCGTCGCGCCTTTCCCACCACCAGTACCTGACCGGAGGAAAAAGCCAAGGAACACCAGGGAAAGGAGGAGCGTTGGCTTCCTGGTGATGTCCCTGCTGATCCTGCTGGCCCTCACTGGAGTCGGGCTGAGCATGTTCCAGATTTTCCACCTGGAGAAGGAACTGGCTGAACTCAGAGAGGTAAGGTCTGCCTGGCTGGTCAGAGAGGCTCTGGGGAAACAGGCAAAAAAGTAAAACTTAAATTCGGGTCTGAGGTGCTCAGGTGATGCAAAACTCCCCAAGGGGCAGGCTGGGGGCATTTCAACATCTGTCATGCTGGTGTAAGTGGGGTCGCTTATTACTGTGGGGGACTGCTCTGTTGGTGACTTATGAATCTGGATGTCTTTGAGTTTGAGCGCTGCAAGGTGTGTCTCCCTGTACATTTCCTAGCACTTTGCAGCTCTCCATGAGGACCCAGAATTAGCCGCTGACAAAGATAGTTCTTGGCTGCTTTAGACGATGCCCTTACGCTCTCACCCTGCTAAGACAGCTTGTCACTCTTCTCTTTTGACAGTCTGCCAGCAATGAACGCATTCCTCCAGCTTTGGAGAAACTCATAGGTGAGTTGATGCACGTAGAGGAGGAACCCCTCTGATTAGCGCATGTGAACGCTCCCGGTGAACTCTTCCCTCCCCTCGTCAGGGGGCAAAGGCAGGGTCCCAGCTCAATGCCCTGAAAGTGCTGATTTCACTTGCTTGGCTGGAAAATGAGCTTTATCTCTGGGGTGTGGGGATGGGGGCCTGCACCCTGCCTGCTGGAGTGCTCAGAGGTGTCAGCCACAGGTTCCTGGGGCAGCGTGTCTCTACCTTGGGGCCTCCCAGGCCAGTGAGGCAATGGTACTGGGGATACTGTGCTGTAAAAGTGAGTTTCTGGCTGTCCTAATGTATAGCAACAACGTGAATGGAAGGAGGAGAACGGAGACAGGCACAGCACATGGTACTTCTTTCTCTCCTTACTTGTTGAAGATTTTGGGAGGATGCAGCAGGTTTAGTTTTCTTTTGGGGTGGGAGATTCACTCCCACCCTTGAAGCACAACTTATTTTTTCCTAAATTCTTTTGGTACAAAGTCTCACTGCAGCCAAAGCTAGTTGAGAAGAACTTGGTTATATGTAGGGTTTTTTTTTCTTTTAGAAATGTCATTTCAGTGAAATTGAAACTTTCCACAAGAACTTACCAATTTTTCTAAATTTCATTTAAGAAAAAAACAAAGAGTTCCAATCTGAATGGAACAACATGAAAATCATATTTTCAACTTTCAAGCTATTATTTCACTTTTACATTCTGTGTTAAAGTTACCAGTGAGGATATATCCCTTTTTAAAGATGACCAAGTCGGAAAGAAATTTTCAGCTTGCTTGACAGTTTTTGCTACCTCTGAAAAGATTATTGTTTTTTTGTCCCCTTGAGGATTTTGTTTGGTAGGAAAGTTAATTTCTGTTCAAGTTTGTTCTGTTACTGAACGAAAGCAAATTTGGAAATAGCAAAATTCTCTGGGAAGGGCGGTCCTGTTCCCACCAACAAAATAGATTTTGTAATCTATTGCTTAGGGGAAGGGGAACTGTCACTTCAACTGGATGCTCAGTGCTCTGATCACAGGATACTTTAGCCGTAGCTGAACACAAGTCATAAATAGTAACCCTGAATTTCTTGAGGGGAATGAATAAATAAATAAAAGCAGGGAAACAGTGTAGAAGAGAAAAGGGACAGGAGAGGAAAATTTAATTGGCTTGAGAAAAGAAAAGGCTGCTTCTAATATTTGAGAATGTGATGCTTGGAAGTAGATGCTGAGAAGGGAAGAATGAAGTGGAGTGGGGTCCAAATACCAAGCCACTGTCACTGGCCCATCTCTCCAAGGGGAACCGAGCCCTCCAGGGAAGGCAGAATTTTCCCAGCTGTGCTCTGCCTCTCTGAGGACAAGGTCTGCCTGGCCAGCAGAGTGATTTGCAGGATGTCTTAAGTGTCTTCTGATTTAGTTGTAAGGAGGATTGGTACTCAGCAGACAGCCCACCACCAAGGATATGGCTGCCCTTAGCAGTGCTGGACTGGAGGGAGCAATAAAGCAGGCTCATCTGTGACAGGACATGAGCAGTCACCTTGGCATGGGCCAGAGATGCTTAATAACAGTGTGATATTGTCCCTCTCCTACACCTTGAGTGAGAGGCCTCTGCTTGAGCTCACCAACAGAACCATTTTAAAATGAAAGCTCTCCTTGCTCTTCCCCTTGTGTTTGATCGCATCTGGATCCTTTGCTGCAGCTCTTCTTTTTTAACACCTCCTCTTGCCCTCCCCTGTTTTCCCAAGCACCGCTCTGCCTCGCTGTGCTAAGCCATGGTGATTATGGGTCCTGTGCTGCTCTGAATCTGCCCTACTTCAGCTTCGTGTTTGCTGTCTGGGCTGGCTTCTCTGTGGAGCATATGGCGAACATCTTCCCTATTTTTGTGCAGGGCAGAAGGAGCAGTCAATGAAAAAGGAAGCGAGGAAAGCAGCACACTTAACAGGTAGGTGATGAGGGGCCAGCGAGGTGTGGGAGCAGAGGACAGGGCAGACGTGGCTGGGGTGAGAGGGTGGCATGGTCACAGTTGTGAAGAGCCCACTTCACACAGCCTTTCCTGTTTTCCTTTGTTAGCACATGTGCTCTGACATGCAGAAAGTTACTCTACAGCTAAAGTCTTCCCCTTGTTTAGGCTTTTCAAGGAAGGCTCTGGTTTTCAGTTTGCTTTTTGGTTTGCATCTGGGATGTGCAGGGCAGAAGGCTGTCATAAGCGGCTGATGTTGAGCACGGTGAAGCTGAGAGCTCTCACCAATGGGAGTCAGGGCGGAATTTCCATGCTGCAGATGAGGGCTTGGAGAACAGTCAACTTGTGACACAGGGTGTGACTTGAAGAAAGAAAAAAACCACAAAACCGCTTGTATTTACCACGCTTTTTTCTCATTTTGGCTTCCAGGGAACCCAGTCCAGCGGGACCTCCCTCTGGAGTGGGAACCCATCTCTGGTCACGCCTTCACCAGCGGCATTCAGTACCGCGATCAGGGCCTCGTCATCAACGAGACCGGGCTGTACTTCGTGTATTCCAACGTGCTCTTCCGGGGCAGCACCTGCAGCAGCCAAGTGCTGACCCACATCGTCTACAAGAAAAACCCAGCCTTGCCAGGCAGCTATGTGCTGATGGAGGACAAAGGCATCAACTACTGTACAAGTCAGAAAACGTGGGCCCGGAAAAGCTACCTGGGGGCTTTATTCAAGCTCAGGAAGATGGACAGTTTGCACGTCAATGTCTCCAGAATCGCTCTGGTTAATTTTGAGGAATCCAAGACATTCTTTGGCTTATTTAAGCTTTAAGTGGGGCTGTTGGCATGTGGTCGGCAGCCTCATCCCCCACACACACGTTGGGACGTGAGGGATGAGTGCTGCCTGAGTGGCAGTGGTCAAACCATGGTCTCACACCGCAAAGCCTACCGAGAAACCATGTTTTGGCCTTCAGCATGAGAGGGCTCAAGCATCTGGTAAAGGCTTGGAAGTGAACCACTGGGGCTGTACTGCATCAACCTGAAAAGAATCGCACGTTTTCCTCCTCTGGAAAAAGCAACAAACTCAAAACATAGCGTTGCTGAAGACCCTGTTGAAACTCCCTTTCTACCTGAGAAGATGCTGGTGCCAGGCCCCACACAATGTCATGGTCCTGGAGAGCTTGGACCAGCAGGCGTGCAGGGACAGCTGGCAGCTGTCGAGGAGGTCCCTCGAGCCAGGGCTGTGGGTGCCTGGGCCATGCCTTGCCACACCACGGGCAGTGGTGGAGGAATGAGTAGTGTCGAGGTCTCAGCTGACCACCCCAAGTCATGGCCAGCCACCCTGCCTGGGCACTCAGCACTGTGACTGCTACATGACAGGCACCTGCCTACTAGTTGGCTCGTTTCGTGTGTTATGTTCGTTTTGCGTTAAGTTATCAAGTGTTCCTGTCCCAGAAAATGTTCCCTAACCCCTTTATTTAACTCATCCAACTGCCTTGCAAGGAATGTGCTGGAAGCAGTGGTGCCATGAGGGAGGTCTCAAGCCTGGAGAGAAACTATGACCACACTGTGGTGGTGGGGCTCGTGAGGAGGCCACGTGTCCTGCTAACAGGACCTGAACAACACAGCAGTGGAAGGCAGTGGGGCTTGAGATGAAAAAAGCTTCTTCAACCCCCTTCCTGCCCTTTCGACACACCAGGGTTCCCCATGGAGACCTGGTCCTGCCAGCCCTGCACAGTGTGGGCTACCATCAATGCATAGCTTTGGCTGGCTCCCTTGTCATGGGATATTCTGTCCTGAGCAAAACACAGATGGTAAATAAAGGTATATTTTTCTAGTAAGTGTCACTGTCTTCTCCTTATTTGGGGCAGCAGGCTTCTGCAATAGCCAAAGCCTTGAAGGCCTCTGTGACCAGGGGCCAGCACCTAGCTCCTTCTCCAGCAGCATGGCAGAAATCTGGGAGCCTGACTCCACTTTGCTGCCTGCTTGGTGGGGTGCAGGGTCCCTGCCATGAAGCTCTGGGGCTCGAGTATCAAAACATCAGGAATCGAGGACCAAGGAGATGTGATGTGGGCAGCACAGACCAGGAAGCCCAAACCCTTTTTGGCTGTCAGGAAGGAACTGATCTCAAAATACAAGCTGGAGCTTGAGTGGAACCAGACACTTGCTGCTGAGCAGAAGTGCTGCCATCCTCAAAGGCACCCTGCTCCTCTGCCTACCCTCCAGCCTCAGCAGCACTTCCCACATGGCAGTCTGAAGGGCAAGGAAAGGAAGTGGCGCTTTGGTGTTTAAAATGACCCATTTGGTCAATCTGGTGTCTGGTCCATGGCGCTCTTCCCTTGCATGGGTAAATCCCAGGGCTGTCTGCCACGTTGCCACCGCGTGACACACAAAGGCTGTGCTGTGGTGCATCATCTTTGCCCGCGGAGCAGCTGCCTTGTAACTCGGGTGTTGGTCATGGTGAACAGTGGCTCGTCGCTAGCCCACAGCATTGATTTCCTTTTCCATGGTGCTGTTCTCGGCCCGGTGGTGTGTGGCCTCTGGTTTGCTGTTGCTTGCTTCAGGGAAACCTGTCAGAAGTGAACACTGTGCCTCCCTGCTCACACAGCTCTTGCTGCACTTGGGTATTTCCACTGCATTTCTCAGGATGGAAAATGCCTCAAAAGGTCAAACTTTTGGGACCTTTTTGCTTGATTGATTCTCTCCTACTGTCCCCATCCTTTCCTAGTATCAGAGGGGTAAACCATACAGCACAGGGATGGAGATGCTGGATCCAGACCCTGCTAGGAAAGGCTGGAAGTTACTATCTTCTTCTGATTGCTGTTTGTGCTGTGTTGCTTTCCTAGTGACCAGACATCCAAGTGGGGAGTGGGTATCTGTGCGTATGTGTGCCTGTGAGCTTGCAGCTATTTCTGCAGCAAAACCAGCTGAGCACACTGCATGCTTCCTTTTCTTTGCTGGCGAGCATCTTGGAGAGAGACAAGGCATTTGGTGGCCAGAGGAAACTCACGCTGAGGTTACTGCTGGTACTGTATTAATGATGGGTTGGAAAGCTCCCTAAGGGTTTCTGTAAGTCATCACATGGTAACTCAGCTGGGCTGCAAATGTAGTCAGCTCTGGGGCAGGATGGGGCAGTTGCTATTGCTGCACATCAGGAGAGGGCAAGGATCTGTTAGGCTATTTATCTGAAGCGCCAAAGGCAAGGCAGACCTGCACGTTTCAGAGACAGTGACACAGTAGGGTGGACGGTCGTGTTATAAATAGTGCTGGGATCTCCCAAGGTGAACAGAGCTGGCTGATCCTTGCAGGATAAAGCTAGGTGCTGCTAGGCTGGCTCCTGAGTCAGAGAGCGGCTGTGACTGTGTTGAGTCAGCAGCACGGCTGCCAGTAAGACACGTGTTTCTTCTTTACGATCCCTTCCTCGAATATCGCTCTGAACTGCCCAGAGCAAGACCCCTGCTCAGCTTGTGGGCTCTGACTGAAGATTCAGAGTAAGATCATGACAGCATTATACAATTTCAAACCACACGGAGTCAATCCACAGGCTTCTTGTGCCACAACGGCTTTCTTAAAGTCATCTGTTTACCTAGTTAATGAGTTGTTCATTTAGTGAAATACTTATTGTTAGTATTAAATACTTAATAAATATTTAATGGTGACTATTATTAACAGCTCTGGAACTATGTTTAAAATTATTTAATAAGTATTGAAATTATGGACATTTGTTTTGATATTATCAAGTATTTTGTTCCATCCCCAGCAAGGAAAGGGTATCTGCACTAGAAAGGATATCCGAACTCCATTGACAGGGCTGGCCATTGTGATCTTTTTTTATTTTTTTTTTCCTTCCTGTCCTGAGGAAAATAAATGATTCTTCCCTGCAGGTTGTGTTTCTGGATTGCAGTGGTCTGAGCTGAGCTCCTCTCTCCTGATGGAGCAGCCTGGCCCATGTGTGGAGGTACCCAGGGTTTGGGCAGCGTTTAACGGAGCTCCGGAGAGACTCTCCTCCGCGAAGAACATGGCTGACAAGAAGTGACAAGCCCAGATCATCTCCTGATAAGATGTTTCTGGTCCGCTGCCTGGAGGTCTTCTGTGGTTCATGTCCTTCTTCCTAGGTGCAGGTGTGCTTTCCTGTGTGATTGAGCCTGAGGCACCAAGGCAGCACTGAGCCAGTGGGCACACTGCAGGCACACAGGCAGCTCTCATGGTCAGCTGAACCCTCTGCAGGCAATGCCTGTGCGTTTGGGGTGTGCAGCTGGCCAAAGCAGGGCTCTGCATGACACAGAAACACTTCTGCTGCTATGTGGCCGAGTGCAGCAAGCTGCATGACAAGAGATATGGACTCTTTCGTGGTTGATGTGTATCAGATGCTGCATCCTATTTACCTTCCCTGGTGGAGGAAAGAGGCAGGCAGCATGACAGAGTTTTAAAAACCTTGGGTAGGCTTAGTATGTACAGTAACAAAGGTGGTAGGAGAGATTGCATTATAGAAACGACTGTACGGATAGGGCCGTTGTTTCTTCTGCCAACAAAAGTGCAGTGGAAGGGGATGCCGGTCAGCTCTGAGAGACAGAGGAATAACCAGAGAGTGAGTCAGGAAGAGCAATGAGCAGTGTGCAATGGGTGCTGCTGCACGGTGGGTGTTTCTCACAGATGTGTGGAGACGGGAGGTGGTGTGCTGGCAAACAGCCCTGCCAGTGCCTGCTGCAGCTCTGCTTTCCCAAGTGGAGAAACCCAGGTCAGAGAAGGAGAAATATCCCCTGGACAGCTACGGCCAGCATCCCTCATATCAATATCGCATCCATGTGTCCTGATTCTTTACCAGTCTGTTGACACTTGTCATGGGGAGGAAGGTGACTGGTGCACAGCAAAGGCTGGAAGGGCACCAGTAATTCAAAAGCAGAAGGAGCAGTTGCTGATCTCCAGCTGATCCCCAGCATCTGCTGAAGCAGCAGTGTCAGAGACAAGAAATGGAGCTGCAACATGGACTAGCTCTTTGCAGGCTCACTGGGATACTTGTCTTGGCTCAGGAACCTCGCAGCTCAGTTGCTGTAGTGAGCTGGAACTGTCACTGTTCAGATGTGTTATACATGACAGTTTTGTGGCTCTCCCAGGAAGAAGACAGAGCATGAGTAAGAACGGAAGAACTGATATGTCTGAAGCGACTCAAATCCTGTGAGTTCAGACAGGGACCTTCTATTTGATCTGTCAAGTTTCATTGTTGCTTTGGTTGGGTGTTTGGGGGTTGATTTGTTTTGATTTTTTTTTTTTTTTTTGCTTATTCATTTACCTGAAGCCAGACTTGGGCTTTCTAAGTTTCTGTTACAATGTTTTGTGGGGTTACTTCTTCCAGCCTCTGGAGCTGTAAAAACAGCCAAATTTTTACCGAGTCAGGAAGGAGCATTGTCTAGTTGTTAAGGGAGAAAAAAGGGAAGAGAGGTAAATTTAAATACTGTTATTAATTTTCTAGTACTCTGACACATGGGCATATTACATCATGGTTACAAAAGTGTAATTTTAGGCATGACTAAGTGTCTGAGGTTTAATGCAAAAGTGAGGGTGAGGTGAGTAAAGAGAGAGGAGAAGTTTAGATGCAAGGTGAGGCAAGTTGCATGTGAGTTTCTTATTGATTTTACCTAAAAAAAAAAAAGGGGGGAAGAAGAAAAGCTTGACAACTTTTTGCTGATTGACTGTCCATGTTACTTCGAGAGATGAAATGTTCCATTCCCTGCACGTGACCCAAGACCTGACAGAGGAGATGTGTCTGATGTGGACTGCAGGCTGTGGTGCAGGAGACTGCTGGCAGCTTCTGCAATGGTGTCTTCGGACAGACAGAGGTGTGAGGAATTGCTGAGTTCCCTGGCCCCTGCCTGT